GGGCCTCTCGGCCTCGCCCCCCGCGCCCCCGGCCGCTGGGCCGCCCCCGCTCGGTGCCAGAGTTAGCCCCTCACCCCGCGACTTACCCCACACCCCGCTCTCCAGAACCCCCATATGGGCGCTCACCGCCCGCCCGCACAGCTCGAACAGGGCGGGGGGAGCGCTGGGGCCCGAGGCCGAGCTCTTCGCTGGCGCCGCCTCCCGGGACGTGGCCTCCATGGTCGTTGCCGCCGCTACCTCACAGAACCAGCAACTCCGGGCGCGCCAGGCCTCGGGCGCCGCCATCTTGGGGAGGTGCGCGAGCCCGAGAGTGGCACCCGCAGACCGCCATCTTGAAAAGGTCAGCAGTTAGGACGGTTCCATGAGCGATATGGGTAAGAATGCGAATTACGCCAAAGAAATGTCGAAGAAATTAGCACACTTCCCAAGTCTCCGAAGAGCCGCTACCTCAAATAAACCTCTAGATCAGTATATTTGGTTCTGGCGTGACTAAGGAGGTGTTTCTTTGCAGAGCCTTCTCAGATGTAAATACCAGCTACCCCTAACCCCTGCCTATGGCCGGTAGTACATGCCAATCTGAGCATGTGTTCGCGACTACCTTGAGTATGCCGCACTTCCGGCCAGATCGCCGGATATCCGCTGAGTGACCCTTACGAGTCCTTCTTGATCCTGAAGTGGTTTAGGTGCCGGTGTAGCTGCTAGTGTTGAATTTAGAACCGTAGCTAGACATGGGACTGGAGGACGAACAAAGGATGCTGACCGGGTCCGGAGACCCCAAGGAGGTAAGGCTAGGCGATCGGCTCCACCCTCTTCTCTGCCTTGAGGCCCAGGACCTAGCCCAGCAGAACATGCCTGAGGCCCTCTTAACTCGATTTTCTCCCTGGGGTTCGCAGAGTCGGGAGACCTGGTTCCCTCAACCCTTCCCTAGAATTCGTCGAATGACTTTGGAAAGGTCTTTCTTTTGGCCTCGGCTTCCCCATTCTATGAACATGGTGAAGCTTTTTTTTTGAGACTGGTGTATCGCTGTGTTACCCAGGCTGGTCTCGAACGCCTGGATTCAAGCGATCCTCCCAAAGTACTGGGATTACAGGTGTGAGTACCGCACCCGGCCTATAGTGAAGACTGAATGAGAGCGAAAATGCTCGCTCTATCGACTAAACTCTTGTAAAAAGATAATCTGTATTTTCATTCAGTCATGTTCAGAAGCCCGGGTGTGATGGGTTTGGGGACCAAACAGACCGACCTTGCCCCAGCTCAGGTCAGGAATCCCTACCATATCTTCTATGGAGGTTCGGGAGATCTAGCCGTACGCTAGTTTCCGTGAAAAACGTGATTTCCTCTTCTTTGGGGGGGGGGGGAGGTGTGTGTGTCTTTGTGGACAAAGTAGAATGCGCAGTAAAATTCTGGGAAGAAAAAAGGAGCTCTTTCCCAGTGTAAGAGTGCTGATATAATAATATCTTTTGACTCCCTACTATTCCAAATGCTTTATATATACGAATTCACTTTAATCTACACAATAGTCCAATGAGGTAAGTGTTAGGTACTATTACTGCCATTTTGACAGATGAAGAAATAAGTATAGAGGTTAAATATCTAATTTAAGGACACACAGCTAACAAATTGGTGCAGCCAGGAATTGAATCCAAGCAGTGTGGTCCTAGAGCCAGGACTCACCAACAATGCTGCACAGCTTTACAAAAGCCATTCAATTTTTGTTTCCAGTCTTTTTTCCTCTTTATTCATCTGTTCACTGATCCCTTTGGGGCAGTCATTCTGGGTTTATGGGTTCAGAATAGTCGGAAACTCATTTATCCCTTAATTTTTCCCAGTCTTACTTTCTGAAAGAAATGGAGACAGCTTCAGAAAGTTCAGCAAGGCCCACCACAGCAGTGGATGAGAAAAAGAAAGTAAACAAGCGGTCTATGTTAAAATTAAGAAAACTAGGGTATTTTGTTTCATTTTTATTTTTATTTTTATTTCTTTTGAGGCAAGGTCTCACGCTGTTGCCCAGGCTGGAATGCAGTGGCATGATCATGGCTCATCACAGCCTCAAACTCCAGGGCTCAAACGATCCTTCCACCTCAGCCTCCCATGTAGCTGGGACTACAGCATACACCACCATGCCCGGCTAATTTTCTGAGTTTTTGTAGAGATACAGTCTTGCTGTGTAGCCCAGGCTGGTCTTGAACACCTAGGCCCAAGCCATTCTCTCTTGACCTCCCAAAGTACTGGGATTATAGGCATGAACCACTGTGTCTGACATGGTTTTTCTTTCTGATTGGAAATTTCACATGAAGCAGTCCATATTCAGACTTATATTTGGATTTCTTTTTCTTTTTCTTTTTCTTTTTTTTTTTTTGAGTCGGAGTCTCACTCTGTCGCCCAGGCTGAAGTGTAGTGACATGCTC